ATTTTGCTAACAAGCTAATTGCGGCACTACTAAGTTGTTAGCCATTAGTGCTGTATTGTTTGGTTTTCTTTGTTCCCGTTTCGACGCTCTTTTCATTGTCTTTTATGGCTACTGCATTTGGTCGCCGCATTAAGACTGCACGATTGGTTCGATAGGTTTCTTTTTCTGAAATTACACACATTGCGCAGCGAGCTGGTGGAAGTTTACTATGATGGTTTTAACCCGCGACTGGGACAAAAAAAAAAGTGGAAGAGAAAGCAACAGAGGGCAGACAACTTCTATAGCTCAGCTGATAAATTTACTCAAACTCCTTAAACACAGAACCACAAGCACCACTGAGCTACCGAACATACTCTTTTTCAAGGTCGAGCACACAACCCTCTCCCAGATCACAAAACAAACTACTATAAGCGATTTAATTTTCGCGAATCACCTATAATTTGCGTAAAACGGGTCCCGCGAACAGTTCCGGTAAAATTTAAACACGTTGGAATCTATATTGAGATCCCACCACATCCCGAAAATTAGAACCCGCGAATTATTCCAAAGCTTGAGTTTTGACCAAAATCGCGAAATACTGAGCCCGCAAAAAAAATATACATAAATCGTGTACAGTAAGTGAAGCAACCTACGAAGATCGACCACCTTTAGGTTTAGACAAAAACCTTCTGCTTGATGGGGCACCACGAGACACACCCAGTGATACCTTTGGCTTAGACGAAGAGATTTAGAGCCGCTATCTCAAAAGTCAAACTAGAAAAAAAAAATATTTGTAGCCGTGACGTGACACACAGCCAAGGTTGCACCCTTGACTGGTCAACCTAACTTTTATCTTTCGAAAAAAGAAAAGAGAAGAAAGTACTAACAACAAAAACAAACACTCAACCCAACTTAAAAAAAAAAAAAGAAATGAAAAAAAAAAAAAAGATTACTATGGGGCGTTCAACGCTGTGTCGCAGTTCAAACACTTTTTTTGTTTTGTTTTGTAGTTTGATTTTTTGAGATGAGAGTTCAGAAGCTTTTCGTCTAAACGAAAGGTGTCATCACCGTGTGTGGGGGTCGTGGTTCAAAAGCATGGCATATTTATTGTGTTTTTTGTATAACCTCAAACAATCAAAAAAAAAAAATTTTTTTTTTGTCTGAATTGAAAGGTGCTTGAGCTTTGTAGGTTGTTTCGCTTATTCAATTATTTTATTTTGTGATGTGGGGCGTGAAGTGTGCGCGCGACCTTGAAAACAGGATGTCCGGTAGTTCTGTGGCGAGGTCGGTTGAATAAAATCGTCAGCTGAATTAGAGACGCTGTCCTTAGCTGATACTTTCTTTTCCACTGTGAAAATATCACCCCATACCCCACCAGGGAAAGGTACAAGCCCCGATGCCCCCCCCCCCCCCCCCCCCCCCCCGGCCCCCGAATTCTACGCCTATGATCGTTTGCAATATTGGGTGAAGCGCCACACGAGCAATGGAATGGATGGATGCATTGCATCGGTTCCCTTTGGATCGGGCGGGGAGTTGCACCCCCAAGCCAAATTGTATCTTTACCTCTAGATGAATTTATATATAACCCAATTTAATCAGTTTTTTTTTTTTCTTTATCCGTCCCTTATATGTTAACCACCGTCCCTCTAGTCTTTCTTTGCCGTACTGAGTTCTACTTCTCGAAGACGTCTTGTTTCGTCGTTCCCAGCGATTCTCATGGCCCGAAGGAATTCAGTCACTTCTCGTGATTAGCTTGAGAGCTTAAGCTTCAAAGCGGGAGCAACTCAGAGCCATTGAAACCGTTTGCAATCTAGTGGCGGACGCCTCTTGCGCACATTGGTTGCCAAGTGCGCATGCATTGCGTTGTCGCGCGGTGAGAAGGGGAAGCAGACGAAATGTTTGTGGGCATGTCACGTAAAGCACCTCGATGTGTTTGCGTCTGTCTCGCAAGTAGTGTCAAATGCGCCAGTGCGCGAGGTCCGGGTCTCGAGCGGCCCTTGGAAGCACGTGTCACTGCATGAGTCCGCGCCACGGGTTCGTCATCGTCGCTCCTCGCTAGATATCGCAAAGACGACGAGAACCGTGACGGTGCACGAAATTAAATACGCTCATACAGTATCGGTGCTTCATCCCTTAATTATCTTCTAGGCGCCGCCCCTTTTGAGCTCTAAAAGTTATCACAAAAAAATTCAGTTTTTTTTTTGTTTTTTTTTTTTGTCCCAGGCCGGTTTTAACATTGTTTGAAGACGGAAAAGCGTTTTGTACGACTTCATATATAACTGACAATCATGTTCATAAGCGCCAAGGTGTCTTTATTTTTTCTCGTTTTTTTCTCTGTTTGTTTTTAGGCTAGGCGGCGCGAGTTACCGCCCGTTCTAAACGGTACAGCTATTAATATCCATCCGCCCATGGCGGAAGTGTCGTTGCTTCGACACCTGTTTTATTTAGTGACTCGATACTTGTTTTCACCTCAAGAAAGAAAACGGATGTTTTGCGGATTGTTCATACACCGACCGAAGTAGTTCTTACAACAATTGGTTGTCTGAGAAAGAAGCGGTAGGCTTTTGGGCGTTTGAAGCGTGTATGTACGTCTTGTTAAGAGATCATATCTTAATTAAAATACCCCTCTCTGCATAAAGAGAAAAATTAAAGTAATGCACCGCAAACAACCTTACTTTTTTTTTTTTTTTTTTACTACGGTTTTTGAGGTTGAAACGAGTATATGGAGTTATCAAGAAGCCATTCGCTCTTGGCGCGTGCGCCTCCCACTTCGCGCAACATAGTTTGGCGGCTGTTGTCAGAGACGCGGAAGTTTATATTTAATCGAAGTGCTTCCGTTTCTCGTCGAGACTGGACCGTTTTATCAAAACGTTCGTGCCCGACATTTCTTTCTCTCGACTTATTCTCCAATAATCGCCGAGAGCCGCGTCAGCTATCTTACACGGTTGCCACGCATCTACCCGGCGTAAAATCGAGAAAGAAAAAAAAACGGCCTTTAGTAAAATCGTGTTTAAATCGGTCACCCTTATTCGGGGGGATCAGTGGCCGATCGTAATTTCTCGCTGCCGAAACCAGCAATCCCGGGTTCGAACCCAATTCGATCTGGATAAGCATCGTACCGGCGTGCGGTCGTGTCTACTGTAGGTGTGAACGTTAAAGATCCCAGGCCAGCAGTGGCACTGCACTGGCTAATTTTCTCATCACGGCAGAGACACCGGTTGGGGCTGACTACTAACTTCCGGCTGTCTAAACATACACGCAACACAATTACCCTTATTCGCTGAGGATTGTTAAGAAACTCAGTCAGAATCCCGTTGGTCATTAGTAACTGCAGCATTGCAAACATTACCAGATAGAGGAGCTAAAACTAGTTCCTAAAACAAAATCAACTGTTCTGTCTGTATTTGATCGTAAATACAGCGTTTCTCCCCAAACAAAAATTACGGGGCTTTTTTTCACTGCAACTTTGCCTCTACCCACATGTAGCGCTAGAGGTTCCGACCTCTAGCGCAACGTGTCGCGCCATTTAGCTACATGTATTTTAGGGTTCCGACAGCCAACATTTTTTCCATTGAAGATTTCAAAAGACAATATAACATTTTATTAAGATATGGATCAGTTCTGAAACATCGTCATTTGGTGAATGGTTCGGTGCGCTAGCGCTACATTTGAGCGAAGATGAGCGTTCGGCAAAGCGTAATTTATTTCTTACCAAAAAAAGAAATTCTGTATTTTTTTTTTTTTTGGAGAGGAGACATTTTGTACTTTTCACTCCGAGTTAATAGGATTGTGAACACCGGTCATTATCACAACGTTCTGTTTTAGCGCGCACTGAAAATGCTTCAGCAGCCAGAAGGAGAGTTGCATACGTTTCCCGGGTTCACTTAGTTTCGCTTGCTTTCAAATGCTGCTTGAGGGGCCACCTGACTTTGCGCACCAATCTCATGTGCTAGGATGCTATTAATGTGCTATACAAAATGAATTGCCGTCGATTTATTAAGCTGTAGGAAGGTAGCGGATTCTTCCGCCACTGATCGATGCATGGGCAAAGGCGTCAGCGGACTTTCGGGTATCATTAGAAAGTTCAAGCGGATCGATCCGATGACAACGATGCACGATAGATTGGCGCCGTCTTTGCGCATGCATCGTATCGTTATCGGAGGTATCGGAAAATCTACTCAAATGTTCTATTAGAGAGTTTCAGTAGATCGTTTTTTCGCCCCGATAACGATACCTCCTCTCCCCTCCCGCGGCCTTGGCCATGCGTCGTATCGTTATCGGGTGTCGTTATCGGAGCGAAAAAAACGATCTACTAAAACTCCCTAATGTCGGAGTTATTTACTCACGCCGAAGATTCGTGTCAGTCACACTCCAGAACTCACACACGTCATCTAAATGGCAAAGGCGCAGCTAAGTACCATGTCACCTCGACTGTATCCACCCCATAGAAATGGACGCAGCGAAGCCTCCCCGCTAACTTGCGAGAGCCAGGTCCGGTAGCCCCCTCTCTGTCCCCTCGGGGCATCGAGCGTCCATCCAGTCGTCGTCGTCTCCCCCCCACAAAAGAACGACCGACTCGCTGCTGGACGACGATCGCACGCACGTCGTTCCAGCAGGGCGCTGGGCCACGCACTTTCTGGTCGGCCCGGCGAGCGAGGAATGCAACGGACCACGCGGCATCGCCGTACGCTTCCGCGACGGACTGCGAGGGGCCACCGCTCTTTCACGGCGCGCGCGAGAGGGGGGAGAGCCCCCGTCTCCAACGGCGGGGCTTCTGGGTCATTAGTTCAGTGGCAGGTTGCGCCGGTCGCCAGTCGACCATGCACCGAGGAGGTCGGCTGCAGCGTGGCTACCACCACGCCGAGCCCGTGGTGCTGCAGGGCCCAGGCGGTGGTAGACGTCCGCTGGCCGCCTCGACGCCTGCTCAGCGACATGCTCCAGATGGCCGCGTCGCGGACCTCCTGTCCGAGATCCGGGCTGCTCGGTCGGTCGCGCTCACCGCTGGCGGTTTCTTGGCGCAGTGCGAGGCCAACGGGAAGGGTCCCGTGGACGCGACAACGGCCGTCCAGGTGCCGACGTCCATGGCGCCCTCAGCGGTCCTGGCGTCGTCTGCGACGGGCAAGGCGACCGGAGGAAGACCTCGGCTGGCCGTGGACGTCCGCGGGCTTCGCATCTCGTACGGGAGGGGCAACAACGCCGTGGAGACGCTGCGGGGCATCGACCTCAGCCTGCCCGAAGGAAAGATGTGAGTGTGCCATGGTTACTCTAACTGATTCAATCGATAAATAATTTGTGTAACAATTAATGTTCTGCTGAGCAACACTGGGACGGAACGTTCCAGTAGAAATGCTAGCTCTTAATCTTTACCGAATGCACGTGCCTTTTGAGTAATGTCTTGTCAGGCTACATGCTTTCGTTATGTTTTATTGTCAGGTAATCATTTTAAAGTATTGGGCTTAAATCTCGAGCATTCCTGACCTTCAGTTTATATCGTTGAACTGTCCCCCGAATCACTCCATATAATACCGTTATTGTAAGTATAAACGATTCGCGTGAAAAAGTGATTTGCGTTTGTGTCATCTTATTTTTTCCCACGTGTTGGTTCTCTTCCCTTGACATTGACTTCGGCAAAGGAAGCTTGTAAAGGCTTTTTTGACTAATTCTAACTCGTTAAAATTACTTGCAAATGTTTTTACTAAAAGTACTCTGCAACGACGTTATCTAACTTCCAGCGTTTCCTGAAGAATATGGTTTTCACGATAGTGGGACACCAACTTGTGGTGCGGAGTATTCAAATTCTATTTGAACCTCGCTGAGACTGACGATGCTTCATGTCGCATTAGGCGCAACGGTTCGTAATTCGAAGGGACAATATCTGGCGAGGTCTTTATTTCAGCTACAACTGCTGCCTTCTGTCGCGGAAAAGTAAGGCACACATTGGGAAAGATAAATTTCATCGTGATACACCGAAAATGAGAGGAAAATCATTAAAAGAAAGGTACAAAAACATCGCACCACCTGGTTCCTTTTAAATGCTGAAGAAGCTTGGTTGAAACAAAAAGCTTCAAATTGCGTGCACAAATTACGCGTTACGGAAAAAATAAACAGAGTGGCGCACAAGATGGGGGCATATTGCTTAGTAACGTGTAATTCAACCAACGAGCTCATCTCTTAAACTTACCCGCCATTTTTAGAGCTACGTATTTTTCATGTTCCGAAGTGCCAAGTGTTGATTCTTGGATTGTGACCCTGTCGTCTTTCTCCGAGCTTTGATCTTTACCTCAGGCCTGTTCTTACTGCGCCTCCGGTCGAGGACCATTGGGCTCTATCTTCGCTTATATGTCGTCTTGTCGATCCTCGTGTTGATTCCTTTAATAATGTGTAACCAAACGTGTTCACCGACTAAACTTGTTCACTCCGAATTTCAGAGATTATTCAAACGCAAATATGAGCTTACGGACATCTGCACAAGCCCACTAGTTTGATTCGGGGTTGGAGCATGTAGGTCTGTTTTCAAAGGGTCTGCTACCATTTAGCAGAATTCGCTCTCAGCTGAATGGCGAGGAAATTTTTGCAGGGTCCACTTAAACCCCGAATAACGTTTCATAATAGCACAAAGTTACATTATGTCTGGACGCAATAACTGCTTTATTTTCTTACTTGAGCGTTTTATTCACTCAGCTACGGGCTTCTGGGACCCAGCGGCTGTGGCAAGACGACCCTCCTGCGCTGCATCGTGGGCCGCCTCAAGCCCCGCCAGGGCAGCGTGTACGTGTTCGGCCGGCGCCCGGGCCAGGCCGGAGGCTACATCCCGGGCCCCGGCGTGGGCTACATGCCCCAGGAGCTGACCCTCTACCCGGAGTTCTCGATCCACGAGACGCTCACGTACTTCGGCCGCCTGTTCCGAATCGAGGCGCACGTGCTTCGCGAGCGCACCACTTTCCTGATCCGCTTCCTCGGCCTCCCGGAGAAGGGCCGTCTGGTGAAAAACCTCAGCGGCGGACAAAAGCGCCGGGTGTCCCTGGCCGCGGCGCTCATCCACCGGCCCCCTCTCCTGATCCTGGACGAGCCCACGGTCGGCGTGGACCCCTTGCTGCGACAGAGCATCTGGCACTACCTGATCACGCTGACGCACCGCGAAGCCATCAGCGTCATCATCACAACGCATTACATAGAGGAGGCCCGCCTGGCGAACCTGGTCGGGCTCATGCGCCAGGGTAGGATGCTCGCTCAAGCCTCTCCGGACACGCTGATGCACCAGCATGGTATGCTCACACTCGAAGAGGTCTTCCTCAAGCTGTGCATGGCGGACAACCAGTCGAACAACAGCAGCGCCGGAACTCCGAACGGTGTGCCCAAGGTCAGCGCCGCTGAAGTGCCGGTCAGCGACGGCAAGGTCTTCGAGGCCTCTGGTCTGGCCGCCAGCAAGGAGACGCTCGCGGCCAACTCCATGACGCATCTGGTCCGCAACAACAGTGTCGAGTTGCTGCACAACAACGCCCAGGAACTGAGTTTAGAGCATGCGGTGCGCAGGCGCGAGCCTTTCTTGGACGCCTGGTTCAGGACGTGGGCGCTCGTCTGCAAGTCCCTGACCAGGCTACACCGGAATCTGCCGTAAGTCGCCGACGGGCGTTTTTGCTTCTTCGTATGTTTGCACAATTTTGTTAGGGAATAGTACGTGTTAGCGCTCCGCGGCTCGGCGCGCGTAAAGAGAATGTTCGCGCTGCAGAACCTAGGGATCCTGGTCTAAGTCCCCAGTCCTCCCTGTTTTGACCGGAATGAGCATCGTACCGACATGTGGTCGTGTATCACTATTTCGCGATGCACGTTAAAGATCGCATGCCAGCAGTCTTACTGCCCTGGCAAAACGTTTCGTTTACAGCGGCGACGCCCGATGTCCATTTGGGATGGCTAACTGCCTGCTGTCTCATCATACACGTGGCACAATTAATGACTCGCGAGAAGAGGACTGAATCTAAACACCACCGGGAGTCGTACGCCACAGACGTCGTAAACTGACCGTAGGACTAGCGCTTTGAGGTCCTTGAGACAGAGGGGGTGCCTGGAGAGTGTGAGCCGCCTAAAAAAGCAAAGATGTTATAAAAACAAAATGTGGCATGTTGCCAAAGTTAATATTATTTATATAGGTAGGGTTCCGTGTTTGCGGGGTGTGTTTTTCTTTAAGATCAGGTGTACATTTTCGATTTGTTCTTCCTTCTCGAAAATTCGGTGCTTTTCGGTATTCATTTCTAATGTCAGACGAAAACCCAGGATTTATCGGGCATGTGTTGGAGAAAATAGGACACGGGCATGATATTCCCCCACCACTATACTCGTTTTCCCCTCCAGAACCGTAGTATAAAAGAAGCCTGGCGCCTCGCGGAGCATTAATAATTTGCCCCATTTATGTAGAGACCTAAGATAAATATAGGTGCATTTTAGATAAGATATTTGTTATGTTATCAAGACGTACACGTTTCAAACGCCAAAATGATCATCTCTTCCTCCAACAACCTAATCTTGCAAGAACTACTTCGCGAGGAGTACGAACAATGCGCAACGTTTCCTTTTTCGTCTGCATAGAGGGGGGGGGGGGGGGGGGGGGGGGGGGGGGGGCTTTACGTTTTCAGCTCGTTGCTCGCCCTCTCGCGGCGGAAACGGGAACAGCTTTAGTGTAGGTCCCCCGGTTCTCCTGCTCAGCGGGCACGGAGGAACTGCTCGCGATCATGGCTCGCGAAATGTCATTTCTGAATGTACAGTGCACTCTCCACGGTCCCAATGTAGTGCTGCAGCCGGTATGGGATTGTGCCTTGAGGCTGGTTCGCATATTTGCAACAGTTGCGTTCGCATGCAACCGAGATGACCATAATGACTAAAACAAAGCAACAACCGTGACTCGTGACTTGCTTCGCGAAGCTACCCCTTGTATCGCTTGCCATGCTGTGTACGGCGAACGTTTGTCCAGGTGACTTTTTCCTTACAGTCGTTTCGGTTGCATGCGAACGCAACCAACGCAAATGTGTGGACCAGCCTTTACTATCTCGAAAGTTTTATTATTGCATATAAAAGCAAACGCAAGCGCCGTGCGTTTGCGTTAGAGTTGTGTGCTCCCCTCTGCGCGTGTGGGCCGTCGCCACGCGCCAACAAAGGACCGCGATTTTGGGCTACGCGCACAGGCAGTGTGAAACACGCAACGTTAACACCAAAATGCAGTGCTTGCGTTCGCTCGTATATGAAACAATAAAACTCGCTACTTTTTCACCGGTTTTCCAACGCCAAAGAAACGTGATGCAGCAAGCGGACGTAAAACCGGGTGGGCGTTCCTCCGAATTGGAAAAACTGATATATGGGCAAAACGACGGTGCGTAAAAATAAAAGGAAAGAAGTATTCCCGCTTTGTAATTAAAAAAAATTAACGGAATTCCTTTTGTATATCAGGAAATTTCGTTCAGAAGGATTGGCACGCTGTCGTTGTGAAAAGCCGCGATTTTGATAGCACCAGATGCTTTATCGCAATCATTGCCGTTTTCCATGGATTTCACGGAGTAGCTACAATGTTTTCGCTTATTTTAGACGATTTTCATTTTATAACTTGTTAATTAAAGATCTGCAGTTGGCACCACTGATGATAATTTTGCAACTTTAGATTGCCATAGTTGTTTGCACGTTTGAAATTAGATCACAAGGAACACAATTTATTAGAGCTTAAAAAAACTACCTATTCAGATATCTTAATTGTATTAGAATTATTACAAATTGCGGTAACGTAGACCACACCCCAATCACAATAATACGGCATTTATCCATAATAGTCTTTACAGGAAGGTCTCGCTCTTTTCTTTTTAGCATATGAAAAACTGACATCGTTATCAAGATAGACATAAGTTTAAAAAAAAACGCTGTTTTCACTAAAAAAAAAGAAACCAAATCAGAGTTAGGCAACAAAAGTTTTTTTTTTTTTTTAAGACAACGCGTGACGCATAACCAATAGATCAATATAAAGTCCTATGCGTCACGCGTTGTCTAAAAAAAAAACACTTTTGTTGTCTAACTCTGATTTGGTTTCTTATTCTATTAATAAGAACAGCTTTTTTTTTATTTATACGTTTTGTGAACATATTGTAAGCTTACAACCCCGTGAAGATATTTAGTAAAATCTGAATTGATTCTGTTATTCTTTTGTTTAGAGTAAATGCTACAGCAATTAATTATCTAAATGGCTAAAAGCCCATTAAAGTTCCCGCAATTCATCATTTTACATGCCAATTTTCTGAGTCAGAAGAAGCAGCAAAAACACCGAATTATCAGCACAGAAGTTTTCAACAAATACAACATTCTGATACCTCTGAGTCTAAGGTGTATAAAAAAACCTTGCCTTTTAAGGGACACTGAACTCTGCAACATATTTTGAAGTGTCTGGATCGGACACGTACGTCACAAAATGTAGTTTCCGCGAAACATTTCTTTAGCTCAATAAGTACGCTGTCAGACACATCTTCAATTAGAAGAGAAACAGAAATTAACACCTATTAAATGCAAAGGTGGAAGCGAGCTGGACAAGAATGACGAAAATAATTCCTGGAGAAGGGGAACAAGAGGGACAAAGGACCTAGCTGTGTTTGGAAATTTATGTTTGTCCTTTGTCCCTCTTGTTCCCCTTCTCCGGGATTATTTTCGTCATTAACACCTATACCGAAAAATTCAGTCCAAAATAGAGGTTAGTTTTGGATTCGCTCCCGAATGAAAACGAAGCCTCCTGGCGTGAGTATTGCGCTAAACAGTTTTTGTGTTCAGGATAAAGAGGTGATCTGCGGGCCTAACACCGTAGTGGCTTCCTCTTATAAGCGGGCATAATTTGTGTCACTCAGTGAAGTCGGCACACTTGACAGGATCAGCAACTGGTATACCAGCACCACCGAGGTGGGAGGTCCTTAGAGCGATAAACTGGCAGCTGAAAGTGACCCCCAATTGGCCGAAGCCACGTTGCACATTTGTGACCACAGACACGTGACCTTATAGTTTTACGTCTAGATTTTAACGAAATTCCGCGCATAAAAAATTGCCTGTTGGTCACGGTGCTGTATTTGGGGTTTTGATCGGAGCTACACACTGATTTCTTAGGCTAATAGTATTGAACAATAGTTCACGTTTGTTACAGCGATCGCAATACAAATTTCTGCTAAGTTTTGCGTAAAAGCCTCCGAATTTGGTGTAGTCACATGTCTAGGGGTCAAAATTGTAGACATGGTGGCAGCCAAGTTGGGCTCACTTTTGCCTGGTGAACGGGATACCATTTTATCGCTCTAAGACCCTCTACCTCGTCGACCAGCACGTATCATCGACCTTCACTATAACCGACATTTTAGAATACGAGTGGCGCAGCCTATGTGACAAGGTTGCCATACGAGAAAGAAACATTCACCTGACGGCGTATGCGGACTGCCTTTAGTATGATATCTAGTAGCAGTGTGACACAGCGGCTTTTACCTTGGGAACCGCATATCACGAATGTTGGCGGCAAATGGTGGCACTCCTCGCCTTATTGGACGAGTTCAAAGCGGACGTGTCGCTTAGTTTATCTATCATGCCCATGTGGGGCGGGCGCGCGTGCGTCCCAACCGATTGCGCGCTTATTTCAATCCGCGCTTGGCGGTTCTATCTCTTCGCGTACAGACAAAGCGTTACTTTTCAGTTCAAGTTTCTTTCTCGTGGAGTGCTCTCCTTGATTTGTAAGCGACGCGAGAGATAACAACCCAAACTTCTTGATCGCTTGACAATTGCTCCCTCATAGTTTCAGAGGTTAACCGGTAGCGAAAAATACAACTTGTCCGAGCCGTCGGCCGATTTCTCGGTCGTCCCCAACCATCTCAAGGCCCTCGGCACAGCCACCGGGTGGCGCCATAATGAGAGTGAGAAGAAACACACCCGACAGTCTGACACTGCCCCTCTCGGCCTCCAGAATGCTCTTCACGATTGTCAGCAGCTGCTCCCGATGCGTAGCGTCCCGCGCCGAACTCCCGCGCTCGACCTCCGCCTGTACCTGCCACATATTCTCGCCGTGCTTCTCCCACCAGCAGCTGATCCCGACGGAACTCGGCCGCGGCCACGCTTTGAGCCGCTTTTGCGTTCAACGACTGCTCTTCTTCCCTCAACATCTCGACCATCTCGCTCCAGAGACTGGCCACCCTGGTTGCGTGCACCCAGGCTCAGGATCGTCACCTCGACACCTGCGTCGGCCTCTGCTTTTCCAGCGCTCTCTTCAGCGCAGTCACTTCGTGCACGTGCAGTTGCTGCAGCCGCAACACTTTCTCGTTCACGCGGCGTCTCATGGTAAATTCGGGTGGTCGCCTCTCTCCTCTGACCTTGACTCAGCAGAGTGCCACCTCCTGGCCGCTAGAGGTACTCGGGATACTTTTCAGCCGATCACGACTGCTGGCTTCAGAGCGCTCCAAGATTTTTAGACCAGTAATGGAAGTAAAACTTCTTAATTTTAATAATGCACTACAAAAACGATTTAACAGACTACGGTGGACGATTGAGCAAAATTTACGCTCGCAACGTGATGAAATGATGGTTGTGACGTAAATTGTTTTACGCATCAGCATATAAAAAAA